GAATAGAATAGAATAGAATAGAATAGAACAGAACAGAACAGAATAGAATAGAATAGAATTCTTTATTGGCCAAGTGTGATTGGACACAAAAGGAATTTTTTCTTTGGTGTATATGCTCTTAGCACATAAAAGAAAAGATACATTTGTCACGAATCATAAGGTACAACACTTAATGATAGTCATAGGGTACAAGTAAGCAATCAGGAAACAATCAATATCAATATAAATCGTAAGGATACAAGCAACAAAGTTACAGTCCTGCAGTGGGAGGAGATGGGTGATAGGAATGATGAGAAGATTAATAGTAATAGTAATGCAGACTTAGCAAATCGTTTGACAGTGTTGAGGGAATTATTTGTTTAGCAGAGTGATGGTGTTCGGGAAAAAACTGTTCTTGGGTCTAGACAGGTCATATTCCTTGCTGTCCTACAAAATTACTAAGATAGAAGTAAACAAGCTTCTACTTCCCTTGCTTTGGACTTCAATTCCTAGAGTTTCCTACTTGGAGTTTTACAAGCTGAGGCTATTGAGATTTAAAAGTCAAACCACATGTGACCTCTTTTTAGAATACCATAGGAGGAAGAAGGCTAAAGGTACCTGGCCTGAGGAGCCATCAGCTGCTCATGAATATCAAGTGGGTTCTGGACCCAAATCCTACTAAAAATGGACTACTCCTAGGGATTATTATTATTAATCCTGGGAAGAGCTTCAAACATTCTTAATATCCAGGAGCAGCTTGAGGGCAATCTCTTCTGGCCATGTCATATCTTCTTGTTAGAATGGAGCCAAGAATCCGTGAATGATAAACCCATCTTAGTAGTTGGCTTCATCCATTCCACTAAGCCATCCTGAGATTTGGTTACTTTCCACTCAAAAGATTTGATGAAAGCAGGCAATGGTGTTTGTGAATGTGCATAATCCGTGAATCATATTACCCAAATTAATGCCAAAAAAAAAGTTTAACCCTATTTGTGAACCTAGTCTGTAACTAATTTCCATGTATAGAAAAAATTCTCTTAAAATAGATTACTCTGGATTTTCTTGTTTAGAAAGTGCCGTTTTCTAGATGCACTTCTAGTTGTCTCCCAGGATACAAGAAACTTAAGAAAGAGGGAACACCAGTCTGCTGCTATGACTGTTCTCCATGTATGGAAGGAACGATCTCCACCCAGGAAGGTAAGTGGCTCAAGGACAAGGAAACTACACTACCAAGCCAGATCCTGCTTAGCTTCCAAGCTCCATCAAGTTTGTCAAAGGCTGCATCTGCTGAAGGACACAACCTTACACACCTAGCAGTTTCACACTGTTACAAAATGAAATGTCTTGTTTAATATGATCAATATTTTATTTTTATATGGAAGCAAGGAAGGAAGGAAAAAGGAGCAAAGAGGAGGAGGGAGGGAAGAATGAGCAAAGAGAGGAAGGGAAGGAAAGAAGGAAGGAAAGAAGGGAGGGAGGAAGGAGGCTTAAAGGCAAGAAAGGAGCCCTAAACATCCACATCACTTAAATATGAGCCAGCAGTGTGCAACAGCTGCCAAAAAAGCCAACACAGTTCTAGGCTGCATAAACAGAGGGATATAATCAAGATCACGTGAAGTGTTAATGCCGCTTTATAATGTCTTGGTAAGGCCACACTCAGAACACTGCATCCAGTTTTGGTTGCTGTAATGTAACAAAGATGTTGAGACTCTAGAAAGAGTGCAGAGAAGAGCAACAAAGAGGATTAGGGGACTGGAGGCCATAACATATGAAGAACGGTTGCTGGAACTGTGTATGTCTAGTTTAATGAAAAGAAGGACTTCTGACTGCCTTCAGAAGTTTTGAATGCTCCAACACTAGATGTTTTTAAGAAGACGTTGGATAACCATTTGTCTGAAGTGGTGTAGGGTTTCCTGCCTAAGCAGTGGGTTGGACTAGAAGACCTCCAAGGTCCCTTCCAACTCTGCTATTCTATATGCGCCCTTGTTTATCTTTCAAGCTCCAGAAGCCAGACCTTTGTGTTGGGGCTCTGTAGGACCATTACTGAGAGTGGAAATTACCAGAAATTAATGAAACAATTTTTATTAGAGGAAAAACAGTAAATAGTTTAGGAAATCAGCATACAATATGGCAGAGTTTCATAGCAGTTTTCTGTGTTTTTCAGATGCAGCCCATTGTGAAAAGTGTCCAGATGACCAGCAGCCCAATAAGAAGCAAGATCAGTGCGTTCCCAAAACATTAAGTTTCCTGTCCTATCAAGAAAACTTGGGAGTCATCTTGGCACTCACTGCCTCTTTTTTGTCTCTAACCACTGGCTTGGTTCTGATTATCTTCATTAAATACCGAGAAACTCCCATTGTCAAAGCCAACAACCGGCACCTCACTTATATTCTCCTGGTCTCTCTCCTGATTTCCTTCTTGACCATCTTTCTATTCATTGGCCGCCCAAAGAGAGTGACCTGCCTTCTTCGACAAGTCACCTTTTGTGTTGTTTTCTCAGTTGCTGTTTCTTCCTTGCTGGCAAAGACTATCATGGTGGTTGTGGCATTTCTGGCTACAAAACCAGGCAGCAAAATGAGAAAATGGATGGGGAAAAGTCTGCCCAACGCTATTGTCGTCTCTGGTTCTGGAGTTCAGGTGGGGATCTGCATGATATGGCTGGGAATCTCTCCCCCATTTCCAGATATTGATCTACATTTTCAATCCGGACAGATCTTCCTGCAATGTAACGAAGGCTCAGACACCATGTTCTATTCTGCCCTTGGGTACCTGGGCTTTCTTGCTGCTATCTGCTTCATAGTGGCTTTCATGTCTCGCAAGTTGCCAGGGAGCTTCAATGAAGCCAAGTGGATCACCTTCAGCATGTTGGTCTTCTGCAGCGTTTGGCTTTCCTTTGTCCCCACCTATCTGAGCACCAAAGGGAAATACATAGTGGCTGTGCAGATCTTCTCCATTATAGCTTCCAGCCTGGGCTTATTGTGCTGCATCTTTGTCCCCAAATGCTACATCATCATCCTGAGACCTCACATGAACAGGAAAGAGCATCTAATGATGAGAAATCATGATGGTTTCTGATTTTGGTGCTTTCTTTTTTTCTTTTAAATAATAATTAGAAATATAAAATAAAGTAGTTTGCAAATAAAAACCTTTTTATGTGTTCTAAGAACTCTTACTTTCTGCCATGTAGGCTTTAAGCTATGACCGATAAATGTAAACAAAGTAGTAACACTTCTTCATTCCCAATCAAGAACCAAAAAACAGTCTGCATACTTATATTTTATCTCGAACTTCTCTCCAGCTACTCCATTCTTTCGGTACATAGGCATGGATATATATTCGGTACATAGGCATTGATATAGGCATGTGCACACAGAAAGACACGTCCTACCCCATGCTCACCAGTCCTCACACCAGATCTAAGCCAGCTGAGGAACAAGAAGCAGGAAATCCTCCAATAGTAGATCTTTACACCTCCATGTATCCTCCTTCTCCAATTTTTAGATTACATCCGCACCATAGGAAATCAGTATCCCCCAGGGCTAATATGCAGCATGGGCTTTAAAATTTTTAGCAAGGGATTCTCTGTCTGGTTGCTGGGTGGGCATGGCCATGGTGGGCATGGCCTAGATGGCCTCCTGCAGCACGGTGGATGGGGAGGCAATTTTGCCCTTCCTTGGCTCCAGAGGCTTTTCTCAAGCCTCCCGAAGAGCAAAGATGTCCTCTCCTGGCTCCAGAGTCCCTCTGGAAGCCGCAGACAGGCCCATTTCTGGCCTTCCAGAATTTCCAGGAGACCCATTTTTTGCTCCTCGAGCCTTTGTGCATGTCTTGCACTTACCTCCATCCAAAATGGGCCACACGGGGACTGCTGGGAAGGGAGGGGCGGAGTTGGCAGGGCCAGCCAGGAGTGAGAATTTTGGGGTTCTCTGAGTGTACAGAATCCAAGCTAGAGATTCTCACAAACCCCTGTGAAACCCCAGCAGTCACTCCTGCTAATATGTTTATAAAAGGATTGCTGTCCCTAAAATCTCCCCATGCCAGCCCTGACTAGCAATAAAGTCAGTTCAGCAGCTCTCGTCAAAGCAGACCTGCTCTGCAAGTCCGAAGTTTAACTTATTTTCCTCCTTTTACTCACTTCAAAGGCTTACTCACACCAGTGGAACAGCAGAAGCCATGTCAGGCCACTTGAGGCTTGCTCAATATAATTTTTACATGACAGGAAATCATTTGCCAATCATTCTGGAGGTTGAGTGTGAGATGTGTTGTTACTTTTTGCAAAGTCCTCGACTTGCAACTGGTTGGAAAGTCCTCGACTAAAGTCCTCGACTAAAATAAGCCCTCCTTGAAAAAATTCCAAGACAGCAGCAGCCATGAGATGACCACACTCACCGCCTCCTGCACCTGAAAAATAATAAGACCTCCCTGAAAATAAGTGCTTATTTTGGGAGTCAAAAGAAAATAAGACCCCATCTTATAGTTGGGGAAATACAGTAGTACAACAAATACAAAAAGATTTGGATAATTGGGCAAAATTACAAATATCATTAATTGGGAGAATTGCAATAATTAAAATGAAAGTCTTGCCTAAAATTCTGTATCTCTTTCAAAGGGTACCAATAAAGTTAGGGGAAAAATTCTTTGAAGAACTAAACAAAATAATACTAAAAATTATTTGGTTGTGGGTGCGGGGAGCCTGTATAAAACCGAAACTGTTGCAAGATAGTAGAAATAAGGTGGGGTTTTTTTGGGCCTCCCTAACTGGGAACTTTACTACTAAGTGGCAGCAGTTACTTGGCTAAAAGACTGGATTAATTTAAATAATAGTAGGATATTAGTAATAGAAAGTCAATCATCACCAACTGGGTTGGCACGCCTTTCTCTGGGAGCGGAAAAACAAGAGCCATTCATATTTTCAGAGGCATTTAGTAAGAGATTCACTCTTGTACAATTGGGAAAAAAATAGGAAAAACCACTACATGAAAATTCCAATTTGGTTATCAACAATGGAGGCGATGATTTACCCAAACATATTAGATCTAAACATGACAGTGAGCTACAAAGAATTATTGGATGAGGAAAGAGAACTAAAATCAAAGCAGGAGTTAAAAAACCATGGAATAGAGATAGGATGGTGGCCAAACCTTCAAATTAAAACAAGATATAAAAAAGACGTGGACCAGCATGGCATTTAAGGAAAACAATTGGAATTGGATAAGATATTGCAAGGGACAAGGGGAAAAATGATTACCAAAGCATAAAATTACTTCCTAAGACAGCAATGGCGAACCTTTTTTGGCTTGTGTGCCATAAGGGGGGGAACACGGAGGGGGCATGTGCAGGTGTGCCACACCCATAATGCAACATGTGACCCCCCCAGCGTGCATGCACGCATGAGAGGCACTCCCCCCATTTTTTGCATCCTTTTTTTACTCTCCCCAGGCTCCAGAGGCTATATAACAGCCTGGGGAGGGCGAAAGCAGCCTCCCCACCCCCCTAGAGGCCCTCTGGAGGCTTCAGGGACCTTCAGGAGGCTTCCCTGAAGCCTCCAGAGGACTAAAAATGACCCTAGTCCTCCGGAGGCTTCAGGAGAGCCTCCTGAAGGTCACTAAAGCCTCCCAGGGGCTTAAACCGAACCTACAAGCAAACCGAAAGTCCGTTCCCGAACTTCCGGTTTGCCCATCGGGCCATTTTTTGTGCTCTGGAGGCATCAGGGAAGCTCTGGAAGCCTTCAGAGGGCCTCCAGGGGGACCGGGGAGGGTCTTTTTGCCCTTCCCAGGCTCCTATAAAGCCTCTGGAGCCTGGGGAGAGTGAAAAAAGGCTGAGGTCAGCTGGCCAGCACGCGCATGCAAATGGCTCCGCATGCCACCTGTGATACACGTGCCATAGGTTCACCATCCTGGTCCTAAGATATAAAATGGAAAAAGAAACAGTGAAGGAGACAATAATAAGTTGGGCTAGAAATTTTGTCTATAGTATTGAATTAGATCATTCAGATAAATTATGGGAGAAAAATTATAAATTGACGATGTCAGCAGCCTATAAGGAAAATTTATATAAAATGTTCTAATGTTAGCATTTACCTCCAGTGAGATTGGCCAAAATGTTTCCCAATCGCTCACCTGAATGTTGGAGATGTGGCTATAAACAAGGAACTTTCTACCATATTTGGATAGGTTGACCATGGAACTGAAGGATAGAGAAGCATCGGAGTATTATAAAATGTGGAATAGATGGTAATGGTTGGATGATAGACGCAACAAGAATTAAGTATTTTCTACAGCAAATATAACAATATATATATATATACCTATATATGCCTATTTCCCTAGCTCAGCTGATAAAGGAGGAGAACCTTGTGGCTTAGTGGTTAACACAACTGCTTAATATGTAATACAGCACAGGTTCAAATCCCAGTAAGGGTATGGCTAGCTGATGAGAGCTAAATAGCTTGAAATAGATCTATACTAGTCTCCCTTTATTTATTTATCAGCACAAATGCAACACACACACACACACC